TATATATATATATGTTGCAATAACTGAGTTTTTACACAAAAGATATCATCAAAATGTTAACGGACCTGTGAGTCCCTGGCCTCTGTGTCTGCTGTGTTTACTGCGTACAGTATTTGCAGCATTGAAGCACCACATAAACTGAAATAAATCAAGCCTTAAAGATCAACCTTAACTATGGCAACACTAGCTTCACATATTTTTTAATCTCTAAAGCACCAGTAATTGATGTATTTATTATAATGTGTTAATGACAAGGTGAAAATAATCTGACCATCTGAATAAGACAAATGAACGTCAGCTTTAAAGTGAGTTTCAGCTCGTTGCTGTAACACTTGAATTTCCCTCTGAGATTAATAAAGTCAGTCTAAGTCTAAGTCTGTTGTTTAGAGGTCCAACTTTGTTGTTATGATTCACGTTCACTGCTCTCATAGCGTCATTTCTGACCTTAGCAGAAAGGAAGCTCCAAAAAAATACACTGTACATCAACTGCTCAGCATCAAACAGACAGACAGCAGCTGATGAGCACCTGAAGACTAAACCAGACTGTCTCCTCGATAGCTTTTGGAGACCAAGAGCTGAGCTAAAAAGAGATTTAATATTGGTCTTATATTCATCAGATGGAAAGAATTATGACTCCAAAAGAATAATAATGTTGGATGTGTGTGGAGGTTCATTGTATCAGCCTAAAGGGTTTTTGACTTGGAAGTCCTCCACAAGACAGCAACACAAGATCAAATGAACTACACCTGTTGGTATTAATTGTGCATAAAAAATGAGTGGCAATAACCCTAAAATGAACATAAAATAATTAAATAAAGTCCAAAAATAATAAATTTACAGACATGTTTTTTTTCTGTTTTGCAGAGAAACACCTTTTTTAGAATTTTCCTTAAGATTGTTAAATACCGGCATTATTTGTTAAAGACAAATCAGGAACCCATGACTATTGATTTCAAGACACTTTCATTTTGTTCAAATAAACATTTACAATATCATTCAAACATTCATTAATACTTACACCCCAGAATAATTAAAATAATAATAAAAAAATGTTATGACCTGCTTTGTGGGGTGCAATAAAGTTGAGACACCAGAGGCAGAGTTCTTAGGAATGAATTCTAAACAGGTGAGAGGTGTACGCAGTCCAGTGCAGCGAGGAATGCCAAGACCCGGACGAGCCAGCTCCTCAGGACTGGTCTCAGCAATCCACCTGCATCTTAAGGACAAAGGACACTCTTTTGAAGACAATAATGTACAGACTACAGACCAGAGAGGACAGATGGTTTGAGAGAGGAGTGAAAGAAGCCATCTATGTCAAACTGGAAAGACCATCACAGAGGTGGAGTTCTGAGGCATCACCTCTCACCTGTTTATAGTTAAGTCTTAAGAACTCTCCCCAGGAAGATGAAACCACATTCACACCGAGCTACAAAAGACCCTAGCAAACCCCATTGTGGCAGGGGGAGCACTGACGACTCACAGGGGAAGAGCAACAAACCCCCAATTGAAACCGAAACTCAAGTGTTAATGGCTCCTTTCGGATATCAGTATCTGGAACTCCCAACTAGTCAGTCAGAACTGATGAAGTCTCTCGGATGAGAGGTGAAACAGCTTCAAGAAACCAAGCAAATCCAGTTGCTACAATTAAACTACAAAAATAACCATGACCTGGATGACTGAGAATCTTCACAGACATCTTGTCCCAGGTATTACTCAGAACAAAACTACATAGCATGACAGTAAATGTGCCAACTGTAATGGCAAGATACATTACAAAATAAAAGCAATAAAACTAAAATGAGCACAAAATACAACAGTAAGAAGTGATAGCATTAAGGCTACTAAAGTACTAAAGCAGTAAAGCAATACTGGACATGGAAATGAAATATTTCACAGGAATGGTGGATGGAGAAGATGTAATCATTATATACAAGTCTGAAGTTAAACTTGACAAATGGGTGTAATACATGTGTAAGATATAAAGCACTGCTTGTGACAA